AAAAAAATAAGTAGTTTCTCAATGTCACAAAAATTATGGTGATTTGTTATTCAGTTTCATCCCACTTTTATGTACTCAGATATATTTTCAAAGGTAAATACAGAACGAGATTTGACATGATTTCTTAATTAAAAAAATGTTTTACCAAAAGGAGAACCATGAAACATCCTTCAAAAGGCGAATCATGAAACATGAACAAAATGAAATATCTTTAAACTTTGCCTTAGTGTAACTTGAAATGATTTTCGATGTTAAAATTTGCAGTGGCAATCTAATTTACTTTGCTGCACAACATAGATTTTGACTCTATAATCAAGTAACAACACAAAATCATTGAACATTTAGGCTAAGCTTGAGTTGGTGGAACCTTTCAGCTTTTTTCTATCAACTATGATCAATTTGCAATTTAAATCATTGTACAAAAACACTTTTCAGATAAGTCCCATTTGAAAAATAACTCAAACAGGCAACATTGGTTATTATGATGATACATTTTTGTGGCTATTGATTTGCAATATTTCTAAAATATCACACTTTGGCCTTGGGTACTTACAATTGACTTATCTGCTGTGGAATGTGCTTCATTTTTTCTACATTTTATGACCATTGAATTGAATTACCACTTATTTTAATTTGTTATGGGTACTGATGAAGATATATAATAGGGATATAGGCCCCCTTGTAAAATTTTTACAATGTTTTTCGGTTTTAATGATTTGAAAAGTTGCCTTAAACAATGCCATGACTTGTTGTGTGTGTACAGGTCTTCGTACTATTGGTGGCTTTTACAAAAGTCGTTTCGGTTGTCTTATGAAGATGAGTTAGATGAATTTGTCTCCTCTGCCAGAATCTTTGTTGATATCTCGAGAATCAACGTTACCTAAAATAATCATCAATGTTTGGAGGTTTAACATTGAAGAAGCTTGATGTTGTAGAGCTATATAAACATGTCAGGGCATTTCTTAAAAGGGCACAAACAGATTTTCCCAACAGCACTCATTCCAATTTGGAGGTTTTTCTTAAAATCTATTAACTTAAAATAGTTTGAAATGTCCCCAAAACCCATTCAACAGCAACACGAACCCTACTAATTGAGGTATTAAAGACTTGTTAGTCTTCTGTTGAAGGTCCCCTTCTTATGATAGGACATTGCAGGTGAACCCTGTTTGGATAGGCAGGATCACCATATGTGCAAAGGGGCTGTTCTTCTTTAGTGGCTGTTCAAATTGGCCTTATACCTTGACATAGCAAGCATACCACAGTCGTGCCTGCATCCTTCAACGGGCCCAAAAAGCTTGGCAATGAGGCCATTCGTAGCTGCAACTGATTGAAACTTCAATGCATGGACTCTTTTCTGCCCATTGCCCTGACAGTGCCGTCTACAAGACCCCAGCAATTTTCTAAGGCTGCCCCCTTTGCATGGATGGCATCTGCATGCAATTTAAGATTTGCTGGGGATAGGTAAGGTTGATCAATGTCCTTTAGAAGATGTGCGGAGTTGTTGTAAATAGTGTTTACAACAGTGTTAAACACGGTGCACAGCTGGTCTGAAACTCAGATGGGCCTGAAGATCATTTCAGTTTGCGGTCTGAGCCCTTCGGGTGCTCAACTCCTCTTAGTTTTGCTTTCTCAATTTGAGACATATTTGAGACTTCGCAATAATATAATATGAAAGTGTCATATTATATTTTATCTATAATTACTATGGGGCTTTCACTGGTAGATGAAACGTATAGTAACAATGCCGGAATTTCCAAACATCAAAATATTAACAAGGTGATTTTAATGCACAATTATTCAAGTGGGTTGAAAGGCATCAAGAAACGCATCTGATGACTTGAAACTCATCAAGTCAAGCAGGTGAGTTGTGTTTTATATTGGTTTAAAACAATTTATAATTTGTTTTAATGATGGAATCAGGCCTACCTATATTGTTAAGGTTTGAGTACTGCAGCGTTCAAATTTCAATAAAATAATTCTCCTGATTCAGTAACAAAAATGAAGAATATGCACATTATATTACTTGGATGTTCAAACAAATTCACATTTACACTAGGGTATCGAAAGTATCACACCAATTTGAGAGGGGAGAAATGGCGCATAAATGATCGCAAGCTATTGTTATGCAAATTTATTCTGTTTTGTCATCGTAAATTTAAATTTTTAAAAGCTTTCTTTTGAAAATCTAGATTGTGTTTAAATGGGGCTTGGAATATATGATTAGAAGCCAATCCATTTTCTCAACATATTCTGCAACAACACTCTTGTTACGATATTACATTTTCAAAATCAATTCGTAACAATGGTTTTATTTTTTTTAGTTGACTCATCTTTCGTGCTTTCTGTCATCTACAGCATAAAATAAAAACATGAATAGAAAAATCTTACATAAACAAATACTCCTATTTGGCAGTTTCTAGGAGAGAGAGAAAACGGAAAAGCAGGGACAGACAGAAAACAGATGAGAAGAGTTCTAGAAATTTTAGTCAAATAAAGGGTATTGATGTCCGTCTAAACGATCATACATTTGTTGTAACATCATTATACATTTGATTGAAAATGTTTGCAAACAAATTTTCGGTCATGTAGCAACTATTGCGAACAAAGTTGACCATGCCTGAAGATTTCATAGATGGATGGCATCTGCATGCAATTTAAGATTTGCTGGGGATAGGTAAGGTTGATCAATGTCCCTTAGAAGATGTGCGAAGTTGCTGTAAATTGTGATTACAACAGTGTTCAACTCCAAAAGATTTCATAGAGAGTTCAACTCTCAAACTGAATGCATCCAGGAAAGCTGGTAGGTAATAAAATATATAATTTGTAACATTTGTGGTTCATTGCAAAATTTTGGTGATATTTTTCATTTCCTCATTTCAAAAAAAAAATCTCCCTTTTTTCACAGCTCTGCTCCCAAAACACAGGCATTTGAAATGGCCACCTTTGCTAGTTTTTTCGAGAATATGCAGGTACACTGGAAGTGGATGGAAGGCTACTGCAAAGAGGTGCGAATGAAACGTAAGATTCAGTGATTTACTATTATCTTCTAATTGTTGTAAGCATTGTGTTGTCAATATTTATTCTAAGAAATAACACTTTAGAACATGGTCATTTTAACTAGAAGTTTATTTATTTCGTAGGATAAGTGTCTGGATGACAAGGAAAGCAGAAAAAAGAAAAGGCGAAGCGGTTGTTCTTTCAGTAGCAGTATTGCTTGGCATCTTCTCCATCTAACTGAATTCTTCATATTCCGTCCATACCAAGCTTATTTTGTACTTTCTAACTATACGGCATAAGATAAAAACATGAAGAGAATAATCTTATGTGAACGTATACTCCTATTTGGCAGTTGCGAGGAGAGAGAGAAAACGGAAAAGCAGGGACAGACAGAAAACAGGTGAGAAGAGTTCTAGAAGTTGTTCTCAAATAAAGGGTATTGATGTCCGTCTACACGATCATTTATTTGTTGTAACATCATTATACATTTGATTAAAAATGTTTGCAAACAAATTATTGCGAACAAACTTGGCCATGCCCAAAATGTGTGAACAGTTTCAAAGTTGAATCTGCATGCCAATTCTTACAAACAAGTGTTTTATAGCAGTAACCAAATTGAAGGCAGCTGCAGGATCACGATGGATTGCCTGCTATACATTGGTAACATTGCTCATCATCAATTTGTATTTAATCAAACTGCAAATTGCTTTCGAATAAACTCGGTAAAATGACCCACAAGTTGTACTTTCTATGTCTTTAAGCATAAGATTTTCAAGGTAAGGACCACTCTTTTCGAAATCCATTATTTTACACTTTTCCTCTTGGAATTTTCTTTGCCTGATACAGCTGAAAGTTATGGATGCACTTCTTGTACATGAAGGTAGTATCCGCTTATTAGCTTCAATGATTGAGGGTCAAAATTGATTCACTTTACATCGCTTCGTGTAAATGTTTAAGAGTGACGGACCTTTATACCTGAAATCCGATTGAATATTTATATTGTTATAAAACATCCTTGAAATTTATTCACTGTTCATTGCATTGAAAAATAATCTAGCGCATAAACCTCTTTTATCCAATCCTCTCTATACAAATAGTTTTAGATGTTGATGAAGTTATTTCTCATCGAAGGAATACAGCGATTCTCCTTTGGACGAGTTATCTTACGGAGGTAAGTACAGTTTCCAATTGTAGCTCCACAACGCGAAAAAGTAACATATCACAAGTTAATACTTTACCCTAACCGATATTCCTTTAAGCCAACAGTATACTTTTGGTCTTATCAACTTATTAAATTTTTAATTTAAAGAGGCAGAAAGAATAGATGCTGCATCTGGTCCATTGGCATCTGTGAATGAAAAAAAGGTATGGCCAACTTCATTTATATAACTAGAAATGCCTCATGTATATGTTCATTTAAAATGTTTGAATCCAGGTTGGTATAGAGAAGTTGGCTCGTTTATGTTTCAAACTAAGCAGGAAGCATTTTTGGGCATTTCCATAAATGACATTTTTACTATTCACATAGTAAATTTTTTTAGTTAAAGGCAGACTTTACGCAGCAAATTCTTCGACTTAAAGAAATGTTCCTCCTTTTTTGTGATATTTAGAGAAAGAAATGTGCTAAAGGCTGCATGAGGTTAAAAGAGATGCTGGAGGAGAAGGCATGGCTGCAGAAGGCAACTTTCCTTTCTAGGCGTCCAGTTGGCTTGGCAGATCTTAATGTAGGGGTAATTAAGAGGTTTATTGACCTTATTTATGAGTCATCCAATGATCAAATTATGGATTCTCTTCATCTTCCAGTGTCTAGCCTGAAATTTCTTGTAGGGAACCGTTGGCTTTCAAGTGATCTTTTGAACCATTTTATCATGTTACTGAATAGGTCTTCTGATGATACTCATTGTATCTACTTTAACGACATAATTTTGAGCGACGCCAAAGCTTTTACAAGATACTCGCTTAAAAAGCCTTAAGAAGATAATTTGTTGCTTAAACGTTGGACAACAGCTTGAAAAACGTTTATTGGTAGAGAAAGGTACATCGGTAAAATGAACCCTACTGGATGTCATTTTACCGTCTGTGCCTGCTAGATAGAAAGTAGAGTTTTATATTACAGAGATTCTTGCGCTTGGGACATTCCAAAAGCCAAGACAGGCAAAATGCATTATCACTGCACAGAATGTTCTGCAACTATAGAAAGGAAATGTAGATTTCAAAGTCATTTAGAAAAACATTTTCGATCTTCAAAAAGAATTCATGCCATTAACAAAGATGATACTGGTTTGAAGAAACTATCATATAAAAAGGACAAACAGGTGTTAGAAGAGAAAACTGTTGTTTCCAGAAGAAAATTAAACATTGAGCGCATAGAATGTGATTATTGCAAAAGAAAGGTTACCAAAAAGAGTATTAATCGCCATTAAAGAAGGTGGCATAACCAAGAATACACACACACTGCAGTTTTCAGTGATAAACACGAAGGTTTCTACATGGTTAAAAATACATCACATGGGGGTGTGGGCTATCCTTTGCAGGACAAAAATTACTTAAAAGTGGGTTAATCAATTGTGAAGATGAAAGGTGTCAAGAAGAGATGGCTACTGCCTGGCAGTCGGGCATGAATGAAAGGAAATGCAGTCATTTGATGCTAGTTTATAATCCTTTCTATCCACAACCGTTTACATTGAATGAAGACAAACTAATTGAATTGGCCTCTAGTGGTAAGTATAGAGTTTTGTCTGAGGAAACAGTTAACACATGCACATGCAAAAAGAGTAACTAGAAATGCCAGGATACTTACCTTTTTCAGCTACTTAGAATCGATTGAGACATTCTTTGTTAAATGCGACACTTGTAGCATATTTTATAGGTATCACGAATACAGTGATTGTATCCACAATTTTGATGATGTTCTTCTGATTGGGTTAGACTTTTGCAATCTTCTGCGTGAGTATCTAAAGAATCACTAAGCGATAGGCAAAATATGTGCTGTGGCAGAGGCTGTATTCAAGATCAAGATCTATAGCAACCTCACTTTGAATTCCTATTTGCATTTTGAATGCTTTATCGAACATAGTTACAAGTTTAACTGCTTTTTACCCCCATATCTTGATCACTGATGTTAATCGTAAAATTGCATTTAGGTATACTCCTCCTGCTGAAAACGATTTGAATGAAGATGATGCGGATGAAGTTGATTCTCAAAAATTTTGGGATGACGTTGCAATGGAGATTATGTTCAAGAAAACTAGACTCTCTAAAAATGGGTCCGAATCTGTCATATTGGGCACCTCTTTTAGGTTAAAAGAGTAGGATAGGAAGATAATTTATAATTGCGAGCACCTTAAAGCTCATAGGGCTGATTAAAATGTTGAGGTGGAATGTAGAGAGATGTCTGAAGAGAGATTGATGGAAACACTGCTTGAGCGCTCATCCAAGAATGTATGATTGCTTACGGAAAATTAGGTGTGTCCTCAAAAGGAACGAAACTCTATATTATAAATGACATCATTACTGGTCTTGGTAAGAACAATCTTAAATTTTATAAGATTTTTCGGAAAATGTTTGGATTTTCTAGTGGTTTGTTGACAGTATCATCTGATCAGGGAATAATATATGCACTCAAAATTCTTGCTTCACTCTGAAAGTCCAAGAGACTATATCACGGACTGACTGAAATACAGGTCAAAAATATTTATAAATGGACCACTTGTTGCTGCATTTGGCAACATAAATTTTGACGGTTTCTTTTCACCAAAAGTAGGTCGTGCTGCAAAGGCTACTGCGGAGAACTTTCAAATGGTGAATGAAGGAGCCTTACAGCTATCGTTTCCTTGGAGTAATTCATCTGCAAAGCTAGAAAAACTGATCACCGGTAGTGCATACTATTTGGCCCTTTTTGACTGACTTCATGAGGGAAACAGCTTTAATGAAGTTGAGGCACTGCGAAGAATAGCTTGCATCAATGAGCTCTGTTGTCAAAATAATAGTCAAGTTGCAGAACAAATTCACGGCTTGTTCAACCTAAACAGATACTTTCTCAATAAAATGTCTCCATCTAATCATATATTTATGTTCCGTTCAATCATTGATTTGACAAAGGAAGCCCAAAAACAGGCAAGTTATTTCTGAAGTGGGAAGGAGAATGAGACCTGTTGCTAAATACGATAACTTTGGTCCTGCAATTCTTGCCCATTCGAGAGAAGAGGACCAAGTTGATGACGACCATAGCTCAGACAAATCCGTTGACAGCTCCTTCATAGGGACAGCATTTGTAGATCCAATCCCATGCTTTGAGGAAGATTAATTTTCTAAGGAAAACCAACCATCAAAACCCGACTATGAAGAATTTGTCAACAGTTTGTACAGTCCGGCATTCGCCTGAATCATTCCTTATCTCCAAACAAAGTTTTGAAACCCAGCTAAAAAATAGGTGTCCGCAAAATATCAATATCTGAAAATACAGAGGGGCCTATTGATGATCTTTTTCCCTTAGACATCAAGGAACCCCTTGATTCTGACAATGCTATTGTAATATCTGATTATGACCTTGACTGCTGTAATGTTATTGATAGTCATAATATGGTAATACATCCGACAGCTAATATTCTCTCAATTGATATCACCCCAAATATCAGTAACATTGAAAATCCAGAGGCTAATAGTGGAAAAGTTGAGGAGCGTAAAATTAATCTATATCTTGAAATGCTGCAATGGATATCTTGCACCATCAGTTTCCTAGTCTAGAGGAATTGAACCTAATTTTTAATCCTAATAAAATGTGGGGCATCCCTCCGTCCCAAAATTGTTCAATTTTCTTGCAGTTATCAACAAACAAGTATCACTTTCCTTGAAAAAGAAAAAAGGTAGAAGGTATGACGATTCTTTCATAGCTTGGGCTCTATCACATCTATTCACCACATCAGTGGTAAGGCTTATAGGTTTCTTGCAAAATTGCTGAATTTGCCATCCAAATCTAGTTTGACAGGCATGGTCTCTAGATTTGCACCAGATCTTAGGTTTTCTGAAAAGTCAATCTTTCTTTTAAAATAACGAGTAAATGCCATTTATCAATACTCAATGATAAAAAGTTACAACCATTGTATGCCATGATTATAATCGATAATAGTAATAGCTTTCGAGTACACTGAAGAGAGTTATGTAGTTCATGTTGGATTCATATTAAACATGAGAGTTCTAGACCATTAGAAAAAGAGCCTAGGAAATATTTAATCGAGACCCATTAGTCGATGAGATCCAAAATTGTATGGCAAGAAAATTTTAACATTTGATCGTAAATAAATACAAAAACTTCTGGGAGTAACATCCTGAAAATGTGTCAAAGAGATCAGAATTGGTTGCGGCAAACAGAAATATGTTGTCAAGCTTTAAAGAACATTTCACAATAAAGAACCAAGCTTCTAGATTAGCCTGCAAAATATTGAAACAAGCCCCATGAGTCATCTGGGAAAGAATGAATGAAGTTTTTTGGAAAATTTAAGAACACAAACTCGAATAGACCTGGGCTTGCAAATTTTTTTAAGCAACTTTCAATTAATGAAAGACTAGCTCCCCTACGAAGCCCGCTATGCGGGCTTGCCAGTGGCCCTATGTTAGGGTACATAGATTAGCCTCGGAGAAGACAGCGGAGTATTAACCTCAATTTGAAAAAATTAGCTTCGCACAGGTCACATGATAAAAACATTACTCGCACTGCTGTGACTATCGCTTGGAAGGGGGGAGCCTCTACCCCTGCTCCTTTCAGGCGACCCTCTGACTGGATGATAACGATACAGTTGTTTTTCACACAATAACATTGTGTTATGTAAGCATCCTCTACAGGGGGTCACCTTCTTTCCTCGTGGTCACAATGGCAGCGAAACAAATTAGTTTTCCTAGCATTTATTTTTACAAGTAACTTCACGTGGTCAGTCTCAGGTCAACCAATGGTACAGCAGCACAAAAATCATGACATAGCATATACAAGTATCATAGATCCTCTCTCTTCTTTATCACAAAACAATGTCTTTAATAATTTGTGTTGATGTCCCCCTTATCTGTCGGGTGGTTTAGTATGTTTTTTTCTATACTAAAATAGATTTATCTTTTCCATTTAGTAGGAAAAAATGGGAGTAGTGTTTTCAATAGATATAATTAGAATTTCTCATACGATTGCCTATAAAATGGGGGTTTATCTACACATAACTATTAATTGGCACCTGCAACAGAAGTACGCTACTTTGAAATAAGACACAAATTTAATAATGAAGTTTGTGAAAGTTACACATCATGGTCACACTAAGGTATGTTTACAGATAAATGTATAAATAAATTCTTGTTTACAAATATTTTGTAAAACACATTTTATTTGGTAAAGATTTCGCTTGTCAAAAATGAGTTTATTTTATGCACATATGATGAAGTCTAGAATGTGGTTACAAATAAATGTAGTCTACTGTATAACATGCTCTGATTTTTCAAAGGATAATTTGGAGAAGAGAAGAAGATGCTCCATTTAAATCAAGGGTAGCCCGTCGATTTGAGATCAGCAAGGATATGGAGTTCCTTTTCACTGATGATCAAAACCGCAAAATTGATTGCATCAGGTAACTTACGTTACGTTGTCTCTCCGGTTATATTCTGTTTTGCATTTGATAATTTTCTCCAACTATAAGCATTTCTCAACAAAAAATTAGTTATAGTTTTTATTAATCAATTATTCTTCTTTTTAGAGCACATAGGACCACACTGCAGGTCCGAGTCATGGGGAAACAGCGCGAGAAAGCCAGGGAGAATAAAAATAAACACGGGCAAGGTGACTAAAGGCCGGTTTACACCATCATATTCAGGTCATATTTGCATCACATATTTTATGTGATCACAGAATGTGATCGTGTAAACGACCTTACAAGTTGCTTGAAGCTGTACGAAGCAGCAAGAATTAATCCTTTTTAATTGCCTGTTAATTTGATGTCACAGATTTTTCATTTGATTAACGATCAAATGGAAAGTCTGTGATGCAATTTTTTCAAAGGCACCCACAAGTCTTTGCTGTCCTGGGTAGATCATATATTACTTTAAGCACAATCTCGCCATTGGCAAATCCTGTTAAAGAGTGTCTAACTTATCATCTTACTGTGAAAAAGTAGTTTAAGCCATTGGAGATCGGATGGAAGTATATCCAAAACATTATTAACACTGCCAGAAATATTTATTAGTATGGTACCAACCATACTATAATAGAAAAGTATGTCAGCAATTAAGTCAAATTTCCTAATAAGCCAAGTTTCAATTCATTTGAATGAACATACAGAAAATGTTAGTCACCACCGTCCTGGGCATCACCCCATGTCATTAAATGGGTTCTTTTGATTGCAGACCACTCATAGCGACACCTGATGATAGAGAGGGCGTTGCAAGTATACTTAAGTGCTTTTACATTATGATGGCTCAAGCTCAGGTTCTACAACTGCCAACAATGCAAGAATTTGAGTCCTTCAACTTGATGGAAATTTGGTGTCGATTGAAAGACAACGAGGAGGCTACAATTGCATGGTGCAGGCAACATAGGCTGCTTTTGACAGAAAAAGAGTGCGATGTATGCCAGGTACCTTGTCTATACAGACGCAGCATTGATGGTATCATTTGGAGATGTCCAAATTGTAGAAAAACAATAAACATCCGAAAAGGCAGCTTTTTTGAAAGCTCGCATTTGAAGCTGTGGCAGGTTGACACACCTGTGGGCTACAAGTGCAGGCTGCTCGAGGGGGCTGTCTGTCTAGCAGACGATGAGGGAGTTGAAAATTAAGTGGAGAGCACACAATTGTTGACTAGAATCAGTTTTGTCGAGATGTGGCTGTCCAGCATTTTGTGAACCACCCAGAGTGTCTAGGGGGAAATGAACACATTGTTGAAATCAATGAAAATCTGTTTGCGCGACGAAAGTACGAGCGTGGCCACCTGGGAGAGAGCAGTGGATACTGGGCGGGTACGAGGCAGAGACAAAGAAAGGGTTCCTGTTACCGCGCCTGTCAAGCTACATTACTGCCGATCATCCAGCAGTGGGTGGAACCGAACACAACGATATGGACGGATATGTCTGCAGAATATCGAACCTGCCACAGCTTGGGTTTGCCCTCGGCACAGTTAATCACACCTTGAATTTCGTAGCAAGTAACAGGGGTAACTATGAGCAGAGTGGAGGAAATGTGGCAGAGGGCCAAAGCAAAGTTCAAGGCAATGTACGGTCCAACAAACGGAGAAATGGTGGAAGATTACCTTTCTGAATTCATATGGAGCCATCAACCTTCGACATTTATTGTGGCAAAAGAATTGTTTCATTTTGCTGACTGAACGGTGCTGAAAGAGAGAGGGTCAGACTCTAAGGTACTGCTGATAAATTTTATATAGGGGTTCTTTTTATGCTGCTGCTATTGGGCTGGGCCTAGCGACTCAGGTGGTAAATTACTGCAAAAAGTTTGTTCTGTTTGCAGACTGGCCCCTCTGGATGCTGCTAAAATACTTAAAATAATTATTTTACACCGCAACCTGACCATTTTCTTTCTGTTTTTGTGTAATGTGATTTAAATGTAGAATTCACAAAAAATACATTGTTCTGAATTTTACTAGAACTAAAATATTCATTCAATGATTCAATGGTTGCCTATCTTTGTAATATAATGTTTATGGATGCATTTTAGTTTGTTTGAATAGCTATTTAATTTGTTTTAGATAACATGTTATTTATTTGCAAGTTGAATTTCACTTTTACTGTAATTTAATTTAAAGAACTAACTGTAAAAAAGATAAGAGAGGTTTTAACAGTTAGAGGAGTCGTTACTTTCTTACAATCTTGTTACTGATATTTTTACCAAGCAGAATAGGATTTGTTGTGACAGCCTTTGGCGAAAGGTTTTGTGCTATGGTGGTCTGTTGTGTTCTATTTTGAAACACATTTGACTTGCTGCATCTTTGGAAATTTTATGTGGTTAATCATATGGGCTACATGGGCCCTTTTGTCATACACTGCACTTTTGTTTTGGAGATGCATCTCCTTTTTTGTTTTATTGATACTAAGCCAATGACGAACAAGGTTTATTGAGAATGCAAAACCAGAAGACAAAGTCTTGAGATATATTTATTTGAACAAGGTGGTACTAGGAACTGCAAATGCTGTCTAATAAAGTATGTTTTACATTAAGTTAGTACAGACAGTAAAAGCAGATAGAATCTGCTTTTGGTATGATGTAATGTAGTATGACAGGAGTTGGAGTAATGGAGTAGCTAACTTTGGTTAACATTCCTGTGGAATGAAAGATTATGAAGCCAAAAAAATATATTCATTTTCTTTGCGTAAGAAAGTGCCTCTGAAAGCTAAGCAAAGGGAAGTTTAGTATAAAGTGTCAGGCCTCAGAAGATTCAGATTTAAATTTGATGGATCTACTGAATAGACAGTCATCCCAAAGAAATTCTTCTTCCATGTATTTCCAAATGACGAACAACAAATCTAAAACAAATATGCAGACTTTGAATTTGATGCAGAAATATTTTACTCTAAAGCAGTGCAATTATCATATGCCTAAAGATTTGATGCGTTTAAGATAGTTAGCATCCAGAAAGAAGTTGACTAGCCTTAGCAGTCTATTTTTGTTACTAAAAGGGGTTTTTACCCAATTCTTTGTCCAAGTTTCTATAGCTTGTATACTCTGCAAGTGCCTGCATTTCTAGTAATTTCATTGGTCAACTTTTATTAATAATTCTCTTCTATGATGAGTCTTGTGCCCTTAAATTGTTATCAATAATTTGGATGTGCAGTGCAATTATCATATGCCTAAAGATTTGATGCAATTATCATATGCCTTCTTTCTTTAAAATTCCACATGTTAAACCATTAGAAAACCAAGCACCATTTGCCACACACATTTTGTCTTGATCTTTGTGTTATTTTGCTAGTGTTGCTATGCTTATTGAGAAATTCTCTAATGTTGCATCATTGTTGTTTTTGGGCAATATTATGAGGGGGCAAGCCTATTGTTTTGACAAGGTGACATCACATTTGTCCATTCTTTTTAGAATAAAAGACCCCTGTCTTCCCACAATGTTGGGGGACAACTGCCCCCCTTCATCCTCTCTGGGTGTCTGCCACTTGTTATTGTTTGTTTTTGTTTCTCCTTTTAAAATTACAATAATTTTAATCATTGCATCCATCAAAGAAAGAAAACAATTTCTTGGGCGTTTCCGGGAAATCTGCATGGTCAGTCGGTTATAATGAGTTTTTAGAATGTCAAATTTTTGTCTGGACCCGCCCCTGATAGGCAGGATCACCACATATGCAAAGGGGCTGTCCTTCTTCAGTGAAAAAGTGCTGTTCAAGTTGGCCTTATACCTTGACATAGCGAGCATACGACTGTCGTGCCTGCATCCTTCAATGGGCCCAAAAAGTTTTGCAATAAGGCCATTCCTAACCACAACTGATTGAAACTTCAATGCATGGACTCTTTTGTGCCCATTGGCCTGACAGTGCCATCTACAAAACCTCAGCAATTTTCTAAGGCTGCCCCCTTTGTATGGATGGCATCTGCATGCAATTTAAGATTTGCTGGGGATAGGTAAGGTTGATCAATGTCCCTTAGAAGATGTGCGGAGTTGCTGTAAATTGTGTTTACAACAGTGTTCAACTCCTAAAGATTTCATAGAGAGTTCAACTTCTAAACTGAATGCATTCAGGAAAGCTGGTCGGTAATAAATATATAATCTATAACATTTGTGGTTCAACGCAAAATTTTGGTGATATTTTCCATTTGCTCATTTTAGAAAGAATATCCCTTTTTTCACAGCTCTGCTCCCAAAACACAGGCACTTTAAATGACCCCCTTTGGTAGTTCTGTCGAGAATATGCAGGTATGCTGGAAGTGGATGAAGGGCTACTGCAAAGAGGTGCGAATGAAACATAAGATTCAGTGATTTACTATTTTCTTCTAATTGTTGTAAGCATTGTGTTGTCAATATTTATTCTAAGCAATTACACTTTAGAACATAGTCATTTTAACTAGAAGTTAATACATTTTGTAGGAAAAGCGTCCGCTGTCACAAGGAAAGCAGAAAAAAGGAAAGGTGAAGCGGCTGCCCTTTCAGTAGCAGTATTGCTTAGCATCTTCTCCATCTAAACTGAATTCTTAACATTCCATCTAATACCAAGCTTCTTTTGTACTTTCTAACATGGCATAGGATAAAAACATGAATAGAAAAATCTTGCATTTGTACTTGCTCATGAACAATTTGTATTTAATTAAACTGTAAATTGCATTCGAAAAAACTAGGTAAAATGGCCCTCAAATTGTACTTTCTATGTCTTTGAGCATAAGATTTTTAAGGTTAGGACCACTCTTTTCGAAATCCATTATTTTACACTTTTCCACCTTTCCTCTTGGAATTTTCTTTGCTTGATACAGCTGAAAGTTATGGATGCAGTTGTTGTACATGAAGGCAGTATCCGCTTGTTAGCTTCTATGATTGAGGGTCAAAACTGATTCACTTTACACAGCTTCGTGTAAATGTTTAAGAGTGACAGACCTTTATACCTAAAATCTGATTGAATATTTATATTGTTATAAAATATCCTTGAAATTAATTCACTGTTCATCGCATTAAAAAATTATCTCGCGCATAAACCTCTTTTATCAAATCCTTTCTATACATATAGTTTTATATGTAGATAAAGTTCTTTTCGCGATTCTTCTTTGAGCGAGTTATCTTGCGGAGGTAAGTACAGTTTCCAATTGTAGCTCGACAATGCAAAAAGTAACATATCACATGTTAATACTTTACCCTAACCCATATTGCTTTTTAGCCAACAGTATACTTTTGGTCTTATCAACTTATTAAATTTTAAATTCAAAGAGGCAGAAAGAATAGATGCTGCATCTGGGGGTGGTCCATTGGTATCTGTGGATGAAAAAAAGGTATGACCAACTTCATTTATATAACTAGAAATGCCTCATGTATATGTTCATTCAGAATGTTTGAATCCAGGTTGGTATAGAGAAGATGGCCCGTTTACGTTTCAAACTAAGCAGGAAGCATTTTTGGGCATTTCCATAAATGACATTTTTACTATTCACATAGTAAATTTTTTGGTTAAAGCCAGACTTTACGCAGCAAATTCTTTCTTTAAAGAAATGTTCCTTCTTTTTTGTGATATTTAGAGAAAGAAATGTGCTAAAGGCTGCATGAGGTTAAAAGAGATGCTGGAGGAGATGGCATGGCTGCAGAAGGCAACTTTCCTTTCTAGGCGTCCAGTTGGCTTGGCAGATCTTAATGTAGGGGTAATTAAGAGGTTTATTGACCTTATTTATGAGTCATCCAATGATCAAATTATCGATTCTCTTCATCTTCCAGTGTCTAGCCTGAAATTTCTTGTAGGGAACCATTGGCTTTCAAGTGATATTTTGAACCATTTTATCATCTAAAAAGGTCTTCTGATGATACTCATTGTATCTACTTTAACAACATAATTTTGAGCGACCCCAAAGCTTTTACAAGATACTTGCTTAAAAAGCCTTAAGAAGATAATTTGTTGCTTAAACGTTGGACAACAGCTTGAAAGACGTTTATTAGCAGAGAAAGGTACAACGGTAAAATGAACCCTACTGGATGTCATTTTACCGTCTGTGCCTGCTAGATAGAAAGTAGGGTTTTATATTACAGAGATTCTTGCGCTTGGGACATTCCAAAAGCCAAGACAGGCAAAATGCATTATCACTGCACAGAATGTTCTGCAACTATAGAAAGGAAATGTGGATTTCAAAGTCATTTAGAAAAACATTTTCGATCTTCAAAAAGAATTCATGCCATTACCAAAGATGATACTGGTTTGAAGAAACCATCATATAAAAAGGACAAACAGGTGTTAGAAGAGAAAACTGTTGTTTCCAGAAGACAATTAAAAGGTTACCAAAAAGAGTATTAATCGCCATTATAGAAGGTGGCATAACCAAGAATACACATCACATGGGGGTGTGGGCTATCCTTTGCAGGTACAAAAATTACTTAAAAGTGGGTTAATCAATTGTGAAGATGAAAGGTGTCAATAAGAGATGGCTACTGCCTCGCAGTCAGGCATGAATGAAAGGGAATGCAGCCATCTGACGCTAGTTTATAATGCTTTCTATCCACAACCGTTTACATTGAATGAAGACAAACTAACTGAATTGGCCTCTAGTGGTAAGTATAGAGTTTTGTCTGAGGAAACAGTTAACACATGCACATGCAAAAAGAGTAACTAGAAATGCCAGGATACTTACCTTTTTCAGCTACTTAGAATCGATTGAGACATTCTTTGTTAAATGCGACACTTGTAGCATATTTTATAGGTATCAGGAATACAGTGATTGTATCCACAATTTTGATGATTTTCTTCTGATTGGGTTAGACTTTTGCAATCTTCTGCGTAAGTGTCTAAAGAATCATTTAGCCATAGGCAAAATATGTGCTGTGGCAGAGGCTGTATTGAAGACCAAGATCTATAGCAACCTCACTTTGATTTCCTATTTGCTTTTTGAATGCTTTATCGAACATAGTTACAAGTTTAACTGCTTTTTCCCCCATATCTTGATCGCTGATGTTAATCGTAAAATTGCATTTAGGTATACTCCTCCTGCTGAAAACGATTTGAATGAAGATGATGCAGATGAAGTTGATTCTCAAAAATTTTGGGATGACGTTGCAATGGAGATTATGTTCAAGAAAACTAGACTCTCTAAAAATGGGTCCGAATCTGTCATACTGGACACCTTTTTTAGGTTAAAAGAGTAGGATAGGAATATAATTTATAATTGCGAGCACCTTAAAGTTCATAGGGCTGATTAAAATGTTGAGGTGGAATGTAGAGAGATGTCTGAAAAGAGATTGATGGAAACACTGCTTGAGGGCGTATGATTGCTTGTGGAAAATTAGGTGTGTCCTCATAAGGGACGAAATTCGATGTTATAAATGACATCATAACTGCTCTTGGTAAGAATGATCTTAAATTTTATAAGATTTTTTGGAAAATGCTTGGAGAGACTATATTACGGACTGACTGAAACACAGGTCAAAAATATTTATAAATGACATGGCCCACTTTTTGCTGCATCTGACGACATAAATTTTGACGGTTTCTTTTCACCAAAAGAAGGCTACTGAGGAGAACTTTCAAATAGCAAATGACGGAGCCTTACAGCTATTGTTTCCTTGGATTAATTAATCTGCAAAGCTAGAAAATCTGATCACCGTTAGTGCGTACCATTTGGCCCTTCATGAGGGAAACAGCTTTAATGAAGTTGAGGCACTGCGAAGAATAATTTGCATCAATGAGCTCTGTTGTCAAATTAATAGTCAAGTTGCAGAACAAATTCACGGCTTGTTCAACCTAAACAGATACTTTCTCAATAAAATGTCTCCATCTAATCATATATTTATGTTCCGTTCAATCATTGATTTGACAAAGGAAGCCCAAAAACAGGCAAGTTATTTCTGAAGTGGGAAGGAGAACAAGACCTGTTGCTAAATCAATAATTTTGGTCCTGCAATTCTTGCCCATTCAAGAGAAGACGACCAAGTTGATGACAATCATAACTCAGACGAATCCGTTGACAAATCCTTTATTGGGGACAGCATCTGTAGATCCAATCCCATGCTATGTAGAATTTGTCAACAGTTTGTACAGTCCGGCATTCGCCTGAATCATGCCTTATCTTCAAACAAAGTTTTGAAACCCAGCTAAAAATAGGTGTCCGCAAAATATCAATTGTATGCCATGATTATAATCGATAAAAGTAATAGCTTTCGAGAACACTGAAGAAAGTTATGTAGTTCATGTTGGATTCATATCAAACATGAGAGTTCTAGACCATGAGAAAAAGAGCCTAGGAAATATTGTGTGGCAAGAAAACTTCCACATTTGATTGTAAATAAATACAGAAACTCCTGGGAGTAACATCCTGAAAAAAGGGGCAAAGAGATAAGAATTGGTTGCGGCAAACAGAAATATGTTGTTGTCAAGCTTTAAAGAACATTTCACAATAAAGAACTAAGCTTCTAGATTAGCCTGCAAAATATTGAAACAAACCCCATGAGTCATCCGGGAAAGAATGAATAAAGTTTTATGGAAAATTTAAGAACACAAACTCGAATAGACCTGGGCTTGCAAATTTTTTTAAGGAACTTTCAATTAATGAAAGACTAGCTCCCCTACGAAGCCAGCTATGCGGGCTTGCCAGTGGCCCTAGGTTAGGGTACATAGATTAGCCTCGGAAAAGACAGCGGAGTATTAACCTCAATTTGAAAAAATTAGCTTCGCACAAGTCACATGATAAAAACATTACTTGCACTGCTGTGACTATCGCTTGGAAGGGGGGAGCCTCTACCCCTGCTCCTTTCAGGTGACCCCCTGACTGGATGATAACAATACAGTTGTTTTTCACACAATAACATTGTGTTTTGTAAGCATCCTCTATAGGGGGTCACCTTCTTTCCTCGTGGTCACCATAGCAGCCAAACAAATTATTTTTCCTAGCATTTATTGACGTCATAACTTGACGTGGTCAGTCTCAGGTCAACCAATGGTACAGCAGCACAAAAATAATGACATAGCATATACAAGTATCATAGATCCTCTCTCTTCTTTATCACAAAACAATGTATTTAAATATTTGTGTTGATGTCCCCCTTATCTGTTGGGTGGTTTAGTATGTTTTTTTCTATTTCTAAAATAGATTTATTTTTTTCCATTTAGTAGGAAAAAATGGGAGTAGTGTTTTCAATAGATAAAATTAGAATTTCTCATACGATTGCCTATAAAATGGGGTTTTATCTACACATAACTATTAATTGGCACCTGCAACAGAAGTACGCTACTTTGAAATAAGACAAAAATTTAATAATGAAGTTTGTGAAAGTTACACATCATGGTTACACAAAGGTTTGTTTACAGATAAATGTATAAATAAATTCTTGTTTAGAAATATTTTGTAAAACACATTTTATTTGGTAAAGATTTCGCTTGTCAAAAATGAGTTTATTTTATGCACATAGATGCAATCTAGAATGTGGTGACAAATAAATGTAGTCTACTGTATAACATGCCAAACTCATTTTCGCTCAGATTTTTCAAAGGATAATTTAGAGAAGAGAAGAAGGGACTGCTCCATTTAAATCAAGGGTAGCCCGTCGATTCGAGATCAACGAGGATATGGAGTTCCTTTTCACTGATGATCAAAACCGCAAAATTGATTGCATCAGGTAACTTACGTTACGTTGTCTCTTCGGTTATATTCTGTTTTGCATTTGATAATTTTCTCCAACTATAGGCATTTCTCAACAAAAAATTAGTTATAGTTTTTTTGAATCAATTATTCTTCTTTTTAGAGCACATAGGACCACACTGCAGGTCCGAGTCATGGGGAAACAGCGGGAGAAAGCCAGGGAGAATAAAAATAAACACGGGCAAGGTGACTAAAGGCCGGTTTACACGATCATATTCGGGTCATATTTGCATCACATATTTTATGTGATCACAGAATGTGATTGTGTAAACGACTTTACAAGTTGCTTGAAGTTGTACGAAGCAGCAAGAATTAATCCTTTTTAATTGCCTGTTAATTTGATGTCACAGATTTTTCATTTGACTAACGATCAAATTTGATGTCACAGATTTTTCATTTTTCAAAGGCACCGACAAGTCTTTGCTGTCCTGGGTAGATCATATATTACTTTAAGCACAATCTCGCCATTGGCAAATCCTGTTAAAGAGTGTCTAACTTATCATCTTACTGTGAAAAAGTAGTTTAAGCCATTGGAGATCGGATGGAAGTATATCCAAAACATTATTAACACTGCCAGAAATATTTATTAGTATGGTACCAACCATACTATAATAGAGAAGTATGTCAGCAATTAAGTCAAATTTCCTAATAAGCCAAGTTTCAATTCATTTGAATGAACATACAGAAAATGTTAGTCACCACCGTCCTGGGCATCACCCCATGTCATTAAATGGGTTCTTTTGATTGCAGACCACTCATAGCGACACCTGATGATAGAGAGGGCGTTGCAAGTATACTTAAGTGCTTTTACATTATGATGGCTCAAGCTCAGGTTCTACAACTGCCAACAATGCAAGAATTTGAGTCCTTCAACTTGATGGAAATTTGGTGTCGATTGAAAGACAACGAGGAGGCTACAATTGCATGGTGCAGGCAACATAGGCTGCTTTTGACAGAAAAAGAGTGCGATGTATGCCAGGTACCTTGTCTATACAGACGCAGCATTGATGGTATCATTGGAGATGTCCAAATTGTAGAAAAACAATAAACATCCGAAAAGGCAGCTTTTTTGAAAGCTCCCATTTGAAGCTGTGGCAGGTTGACATACCTGTGGGCTACAAGTGCAGGCCGCTCGAGGGGGCTGTCTGTCTTGCAGACGATGAGGGAGTTGAAAATTAAGTGGAGAGCACACAATTGTTGACTAAAATCAGTTTTGTCGAGACGTGGCTGTCCAGCATTTTGTGAACCACCCAGAGCGTCGAGGGGGAAATGAACACATTGTTGAAATCGATGAAAATCTGTTTGCGCGACAAAAGTACGAGCGTGGCCACCTTGGAGAGAGCAGTGGATACTGGGCGGGTACGAGGCAGAGACAAAGAAAGGGTTCCTGTTACCGGTCCCTGCAAGGGACCAAGCTACATTACTGCCGATCATCCAGCAGTGGGTGGAACCGAACACAACGATATGGACGGATATGTCTGCAGAATATCCGAACTTGTCACAGCTTGGGTTTGCCCTCGGCAAAGTTAACCACACCTTGAATTTCGTAGCAAGTAACAGGGGTAACAATGAACAGAGTGGAGGAAATGTGGCAGAGGCCAAAGCGAAGTTCAAGGCAATGTACGGTCCAACAAACCGAGAAATGGTGGAAGATTACCTCTCTGAATTCATATGGAGCCATCAATTTAGCGACAACCAATTTATTAATTTATTTCCTTAGTAATTATTAGTTCTTTAAACTTATTAATTTTTTTTTAATTTAATCTAATTTAATCTATTTTAATTTATTCTCGCAGGGAGATTCGTAAAAAGGAGAGGCTCTTTAAACGAGAAAAAAGGTCTGGCAACTACCTTGATTCTGTTAAATTTAAAGCTCAAAGAAAGAAAGTGAAACATATTATAAAGAAAGCTCATGATGATTAGAGTCTTACAAGTACAGTCTTACAAGTATCTGGGTGTATATATTTGTAACGATATGCGTTGGAATAAGACAGTTGATCTGGTAGTTGGGAAAGCAAACAAATCCCTTGGATTACTGCGGAGAAATTTTTCTACTTGTTCACGGCAAATAAGAGAAAAACTTTATTTTGCGCTTGTGCAATTTTGATGATGATGATGATGATGACAATAATAAAAAATTTTCGAAATTCCAAAATGCATCATCTTTGTTTATTTAAAACTATTTATTTAAAACTGTTTATTTATATAAAATATAATTTACTTCTGAAACAATTATTAAAGTATGAGAATAATTTCACAAGAACCCATTGCAAGTATGGATGTATTGGAAAGATTGAAACAGTTATTGATCGATTGTGCTTTGGATACCATCTAGGCGTATTTTTTTCTCGCTGTCTAGAGAATGGTTACTTACAAGTCTGCCAGGAAAGCCTAGGGGCCAGAACCAGATCGTAACACACAACCTTCGAAATTTATTGTGGCAAAAGAATTGTTTAATTTTGCTGAATGAACCGTGCTGAAAGAGACAGGGTCAGACTCTTAAGGTACTGCTGATAAATTTTATATAGGGGTTCTTTTTATGCTGCTGCTACTGGGCTGGACCTAGCGACTCAGGTGGTAAATTACTGCAAAAAGTTTGTTCTGTTTGCAGACTGGCCCCTCTGGATGCTGCTAAAATACTTAATTTTACACCGCAACCTGACCATTTTCTTTCTGTTTTTGTGTAATGTGATTTAAATGTAGAATTCACAAAAAATACATTGTTCTGAATTTTACTAGAACTAAAATATTCATTCAATGATTCAATGGTTGCCTATCTTTGTAATATAATGTTTATGGATGCATTTTAGTTTGTTTGAATAGCTATTTAATTTGTTTTAGATAACATGTTATTTATTTGCAAGTTGAATTTCACTTTTGCTGTAATTTAATTTAAAGAACTAACTTTAAAAAAGATAAGAGAGGTTTTAACAGTTAGAGGAGTCATTACTTTCTTACAATCTTGTTACTGATATTGTTACCAAGCAGAATAGGATTTGTTGTGACAGCCTCTGGTGAAAGGTTTTGTGCTATGGTGGTCTGTTGTGTTCTATTTTGAAACATATTTGACTTGCTGCATCTTTGGAAATTTTATGTGGTTAATCATAAGGGCTACATGGGCCCTTTTGTCATACACTGCACTTTTGTTTTGGAGATGCATCTCCTTTTTTGTTTTATTGATACTAAGCCAATGACGAACAAGGTTTATTGAGAATGCAAAACCAGAAGTCAAAATCTTGAGATATATTTATTTGAACAAGGTGGTACTAGGAACTGAAAATGCTGTCCAATAAAGTATGTTTTACATTAAGTTAGTACAGACAGTAAAAGCAGATAGAATCTGTTTTTAATGCATGTCAAAATGCAGCAATTGGTATGATGTAATGTCGTTTAACAGGAGTTGGAGTAATGGAGTAGCTAACTTTGGTTAACATTCCTGTGGAATGAAAGATTATGGAGCCAAAAAATTATATTCATTTTCTTTGGCGTAAGAAAGTGCCTCTGAAAGCTAAGCAAAGGGAAGTTTAGTATAAAGTGTCAGGCCTCAGAAGATTCAAATTTAAATTTGATGGATCTACTGAATAGACAGTCATCCCAAAGAAATTCTTCTTCCATGTATTTCCAAATGATGAACAACAAATCTAAAACAGATATGCAGACTTTGACTTTGATGCAGAAATATTTTACTCTAAAGCAGTGCAATTATCATATGCCTAAAGATTTGATGCGTTTAAGATAGTTAGCATCCAGAAAGAAGTTGACTAGCCTTAGCAGTCTATTTTTGTTACTGAAAAGGGTTTTTACCCAATTCTTTGTCCAAGTTTCTATAGCTTGTATACTCTGCAAGTGCCTGCATTTCTAGTAATTTCATTGGTCAACTTTTATTAATAATTCTCTTCTATGATGAGTCTTGTGCCCTTAAATTGTTATCAATAATTTGGATGTGCAGTGCAATTATCATATGCCTAAAGATTTGATGCAATTATCATATGCCTTCTTTCTTTAAAATTCCACATGTTAAACCATTAGAAAACCAAGCACCATTTGCCACACACATTTTGTCTTGATCTTTGTGTTATTTTGCTAGTGTTGCTATGCTTATTGAGAAATTCTTTAATGTTGCATCATTGTTGTTTTTTGGGCAATATTATGAGGGGGCAAGCCTATTGTTTTGACAAGGTGACATCACATTTGTCCATTCTTTTTAGAATAAAAGACCCCTGTCTTCCCAAAATGTTGGGGGACAACTGCCCCCCTTCATCCCCTCTGGGTGTCTGCCACTTGTTATTGTTTGTTTTTATTTCTCCTTTTAAAATTACAATAATTTTAATCATTGCATCCATCAAAGAAAGAAAACAATTTCTTGGGCGTTTCCGGGAAATGGGCATGGTCAGTCGGTTATAATGATTTTTGAGAATGTCAAATTTTTGTCTGGACCCGCCCCTGATAGGCAGGATCACCATATATGCAAAGGGGCTGTCCTTCTTCAGTGAAAAAGTGCTGTTCAAGTTGGCCTTATACCTTGACAAAGCGAGCATACCACTGCCGTGCCTGCATCCTTCAACAGGCCCAAAAAGTTTTGCAATAAGGCCATTCCTAACCACAACTGATTGAAATATCAATGCATGGACTCTTTTGTGCCCATTGGCCTGACAGTGCCATTTACAAAACCTCAACAATTTTCTAAGGCAGCCCCCTTTGCATGGATGGCATCTGCATGCAATTTAAGATTTGCTGGGGATAGGTAAGGTTGATCAATGTCCCTTAGGAGATGTGCAGAGTTGCTGTAAATTGTGTTTACAACAGTGTTCAACTCCTAAAGATTTCATAGAGAGTTTAACTTCTAAACTGCTAATTCATAGAGAGTTTAAATTCTAATTCATTCAGGAAAGCTAGTCGGTAATAAATATATAATTTGTAACATTTGTGGTTCAACGCAAAATTTTGGTGATATTTTCCATTTGCTCATTTTAGAAAGAATATCCCTTTTTTCACAGCTCTGCTCCCAAAACACGGGCACTTGAAATGGCCCCCTTTGGTAGTTTTGTCGAGAATATGCAGGTATGCTAGAATTGGATGAAGGGCTACTGCAAAGAGGTGTGTATGAAACATAGGATTCAGACATAAGAAATGACGAAAATAAAAAGGATTTAAAGAAAAACTGAGTTTATTTTTAAAAATGGAATAGTTTTGATAAATTAGCCTTTTTAATAATAAACAAGGACTTTTAACGTAATATTTTTTCAAAGTTATAAAATTGTAAGTTAGATTTTTAACATTTCTTTTCTTTTAAGCAAGACAGGCATTGAAATCAGCAAAATTTTTGCTGAAGCTTTTATCCTGTTGAAATATTCGTATTTTTAGTGATTTACTATTTTCTTCCAATTGTTGTAAACATTGTGTTGTCGATATTTATTTTAAGCAATTACACTTTACTAGAAGTTGATTTATTTCATAGGAAAAGTCTCCAGACGACAAGTGTCCCCAATCACAAGGAAAGCAGAAAAAAGGAAAGGTGAAGCGGTTTCCCTTTCAGTAGCAGTATTGCTTAGCATCTTCTCCATCTAAACTGAATTTTTAACATTCCATCCATACCAAGCTTCTTTTGTACTTTCTAACATGGCATAGGATAAAAACATGAATAGAAAAATCTTACATAAACAAATACTCCTATTTGGCAGTTTCTAGGAGAGAGAGAAAACGGAAAAGCAGGGACAGACAGAAAACAGATGAGAAGAGTTCTAGAAATTGTAGTCAAATAAAGGGTATTGATGTCCGTCTAAACGATCATACATTTGTTGTAACATCATTATATATTTGATTGAAATGTTTGCAAACAAATTTTCGTTCATGTAGAAACTATTGCAAACAAACTTGGCCATGCCCAAAATCTGTCAACAGTTTCAAAGTTGAATCTGCATGCCAATTCTTACAAACAAATTTTATTATAGCAGTAACCAAATTGAAAGCGGCTGCAGGATCACAATGGATTGCCTGCTATACATTGGTAACATGACAAATTCGGCAAGCTTTGCATTTGTACTTGCTCATGAACAATTTGTATTTAATTAAACTGTAAATTGCTCTCGAAAAAACTAGGTAAAATGGCCCTCAAGTTGTACTTTCTATGTCTTTGAGCATAAGATTTTTAAGGTAAGGACCACTCTTTTCGAAATCCATTATTTTACACTTTTCCACCTTTCCTCTTGGAATTTTCTTTGCTTGATACAGCTGAAAGTTATGGATGCAGTTGTTGTACATGAAGGCAGTATCCGCTTGTTTGCTTCTATGATTGAGGGTCAAAACTGATTCACTTTACACAGCTTCGTGTAAATGTTTAAGAGTGACGGACCTTTATGCCTGAAATCCGATTGAATGTTTAATGTTTAAAACATCCTTGAAATTAATTCACTGTTCATCGCATTGAAAAAGTGTAGCTAAAGGCCGCATGAGGTTACAAGAGGTGCTGGAGGAGAAGACATGGCCTCGGAAGGCAACTTTCCATTCTAGGTGTCCAGTTCGCTTGGAAGATCTTAATGTAGGGGAAATTAAGAGGTTTATTGACCCTATTTGTGAGTCATCCGATGATCACATCATTGATTCCCTTAAAATTTCTTGTAGGGAATCATTGGCTTTCAAGTGATCTTTGGAACCATTTTACCGGGTTACTGAATAGTTCTTCTGATGATACCCATTGTATCTACTTTAAAGAGGTAAATTTGAGCGACCCCGAAGCATTTGGGAGATACTTGCTTAAAAAGCCTAAAGAAGATAATTTTTTGCCTAAACATTGGACAATAGCTTGAAAAATAATTATTGGCCGTCTGTGTCTACTACATAGAAAGTAGGGTTTCATATTACAGAGATTCTTGGTCTTGGGAAACTCCAGATGAGCTGCTCTTTTTACGTGCAAAATGTTTGAAAAGGGTTGGGTTACTTGATGACACCCCAATCTCCGTTAAATCCATGCACGCACTAAATGCATCAGCTAACCCAATCAATGGCCACAAATGTTCTCGTAAGTGCTGTTCACAATTCCCTTGCAAAAAGATTGTAATAGTTGTGGGGTTTCAACTATTTTGCTTCGGCTACTGAAACTAAATGTGTTGGGTTCGGCTACTTAAAGAACATTTCTTATTACAACTATTTACGAGCTGTCCTTATTACGTGGATCATGGGAAACAAAATTGATTTAGAAATATGCTCTGTAGGAAATGTAATTAGCGATAATCAGGTATTTTCAAACAACACCTAACTTCATTTAACTTGCAGATAGTGAGCCTAATGTAAATCTAAGCTCAGGCGAAGAGTCGGAAGATACATCCCAAACATTCCAAACATTAGAATTATTATTAGAGTCGTCTTGCTCACATAATTTTGAATCAAATGAAAATATAGAGCTTGACGAAATAAGTGAAAAGAACGATATCAAGCAGCTTCCTAGTTGTAGCTGGGAGAGTAAATGTTCTACACGTACCCGAAGCCAGCCCTCTATTCTTACAAAAAGGGACTGTATAGATCCATCAGCATTTTCTGTAACTTGCACTGAGGGTGGATTACCAAGGTGCAACAATACTGTACATCATATCCATTACATTTTATGTCCTAATTCAACGAAATTTGATTTCCAGTCCCTAATAAACCGTCATGTGTGTCACATCCACATCAACTAGTTTGAGTTGCCAGACCTTCTAACCTGCTTTAAAAAATAAAAAAAATGTATTTATGTATGTATATACGTGCATTTGAATGAGTCTCGCATTGTCACATATGGCGATAAGACCATCCTTTCTTGCATAAAAACTAGATAGAAACCAACCAAAAGCTAAGACAGGCAAAATGCATTGTAACTGCACAGAATGTTCTGCAACTATAGAAAGGAAATGTAGATTGCAAAGTCATTTAGAAGAACATTTTCGTCTTCCAAAAGAATTACTCCCATTAACAAAGATGATACTGGTTTGAAGAAACTATCATATAAAAAGGACAAACAGGAGTTACAAGAGAAAACCTTTGTTTCTAGAAGACAATTAAACATTGAACGCATTGAATTTGATATTTGCCAAAGAAAGGTTACCAAAAAGAATATTAATCGCCATTATAGAAGGTGGCATAACCAAGAATACACACACACTGCAGTTTTCTGTGATAAACACGAAGTTTCCTACATGGTTAAAAAGAAATCTCATGGGGGTGTGGGCTTTCCTTTGCATGTACAAAATTACTTAAAAGTTGGTTAATCGATTGTGAAGATGAGAGGTGTCAAGAAGAGATGCTGACTGCCGCGCCGTCAGGCATGAACAAAAGGGAATGCAGTCATTTGATGCTAGTTAATAATTCTTTTTTATCCACCACTGTTTACATTGAATAAAGACAAACTAATTGAATTGGCCTCAAGTGGAAAGTATAGAGTTTTGTCTGAGGAAACAGTTAACACATCCATTGAGTTAAAACACGGTTGTCATTTTTATAACTGTTCATTAGTGGTTGCTTGGAAGGACCAAAATCATATTAATTTGTTGGTCTATAACAGCAAATATATGCACATACTAATACGCTCTCAATCTATAGTTTCTTACAACAGTCTATATGGTCGTCTAAACTGAAAGTCTAAAAAACCAAAATAATTTTGCGTTCACAAAGCTGTTGCCTTATTCCTTTATATCCCAGTGACTGATATATCAGTCACTTAGGGCTGATTTATACGTCGCGCTTATCTCGCACCAAATCTAATATAATTAGAACCGACGAAAGCGCGAGTTTGGCGCGACAAAGGAGTTTGATTTTGATTTAGACGATGAACTTTCGTCGTGCCAATAGCAAAATACACTTCTGCGAGTTGCCAGCCACAGGGAACCAATAAACTGAAAACACTCGAAGCAAAGACAAATCACGTATGGCGCCCTTCACGCATCTAAAGAAAGTGCTTCTTCTGAAGTCGCTTATTGGAGCCAGGAGAAGACGACAGAATATGCAAGCAATGATGATTAATTTGATGAACAGAAGACGGTGTAGGCTTTTGCGGATTCTTTTTTTGCTACAGTTGATTCTTACTGGTTTACAACAAGCAGTTGCAGTGCCTATTAGGCCTAGGATAAGATCATGCCGTAGGTTGCAGCGAAACACTGGTTGGTGGAACCTCGTTTGGACAGTATATTCCGAGAAAAGGTTTAAAAAGACATTTAGAATGACTAGGCAAACATTTTCCTTAATTCATGATAGAATCAAGGATGATTTAACGAAGGAGAGCGTCACAGAAGAACCAATTCCATCCCAGATGAGACTAGCAATTTGCTTGTATCGACTCAGTAGAGGAGACTACTACAATACCATTTCAGAGCTAGCTGGTGTCGGTGAAACAACTGTGTGCAACATAGTGAGAGAGGTAGCTAAGGCAATCATTGAAAATTTATGGGAAGAATTTGTTGAGGCCAAATTTCCACATAGCAAGGACACGCTGAATGAGAAAATGAAAGAAATGGAACAAGAATGGCAGTTTCCTTTTGCATATTCTGCAATTGATGGGTGTCACATACCAATTAAGTGCCCACCTGGTGGCCAAGAGTCATGTAAAGAATTTCATAATTTTAAGAATTTCTACTCAATCGTTCTAATGGGAATGGTAGATGCCAAATATCGATTTATATGGGCAAGTGCTGGTTGGCCTGGCAATTCACATGATGCCATAATCTTTCAAGCAACAAACCTTTATACCAAACTAGCTGAAGGTACAGCCTTTCCACCTATTGCCCATCATGAGAATGGCGTCAGTATTCCACCTTTAATCCTGGGAGATTCTGCCTTCCCCTTCAAGCCTTGGCTGCTGAAGCCTTACACAAATGCTACACTGATGCCAGAGCAGAGCTATTTCAATTATAGGTTGAGTCGTGCACGCATGGTAACAGAGTGTGCATATGGACAACTGAAAGGTCGATGGAGAGTCTTGCTCAGGAAGTCTGAGAATGATAAGGAAACAGTACGTGCAGTTACACTAGCTTGTGTAGTACTACATAACATTTGCATCGAACAAGGAGATTTGGCTCAAAGGCAATGGGACCTCTCCAAAGATTCAGCATCAAATCAAAGACGTACACAAGAAGAAGTCCAAGACCTTCTTATGATAAGGCAATGCAGACCTCTAAGAGATACAAATCGTTCTGCAGCACAGGTTCGTGATTATTTGAAAGACAAGTTATTTTTAGAAAAGCAGCAAGTTTAGGGGATGCAAAGCTCCCATACTTTCAATACTCTCCCTCCCTTAATAGTATCCCCCTAACTCCAAAATTTTACAAAATTACCATCTATTTCCATTTATTAAAACCCCCCTAAAAAGGAAAAAAATGCTTTTTTCCATCCACCCCCATTTATTAGACAACACCCCAAAGGCTATTGGCAGCTATTTTTGATATTTTGCAAGATTCAAGGGGCTATTAGAAGCACTGATTGGCTTTTACCCCATTTGAGAGCAGAACGCTGATAGGTTGTTTACATTTTTCCTCCTTGTTATATGAATTGGTATAGTATCTTTTAGTATCGAAATATCTTTTCAACAAAATGTAAAAAAGTTAATGTTACCCCCCAACTATTAACATCACACCCCTATTTAAGCGCTGCATGACAAAATCAACCCATTTCCATTTATTAACACCCTCCACAATTATTTATCCTGGGCAAATTTCCAACTGCCTCTTTTTAATAAGTCCCCCCTACTATTAGGGGATGGAGAGTAAGCTGCATCAGCTTTGGAAAACTGACAAAGTTTCAATTATAATTCTTGACAATTGTGATTTCTGGAGCCACTTTGACACTATTTATACACTACTTATGTTCTTATGTTGTACATTGTAGTTTGTATTAAATAATGTTTCTTATGTAATTACTTGTAGATTGGATTTAGGATTAATTGATAGATGAATGGAAACTGAAACTGAAAACTGAAACTGAAATATGATGTGATTCTAAATGTTTATAGCTGAAATAAATCATCTGACTGGGATTGATGTTCAAAGTTTTGATTCCTTGGAGGATAATTATCTTGTGGAGTAAATGCTTGTCGAAATTGTTGTCTTGGATCCATACTGTATGACTGCTGCATGTTTTGGGGGAAATGTTGATAAGAAGGAGGCTGTGGAACTGGTGGTTGGAATTGCTGCTGTGCTTGATTTCCATTGAACATCATTGTGAGTAATCTCATTTCATGTTCTCTTGATCTTTGATTCTCTCTCTCAAGAAATGCTAGCATGTCAGCCATTGGGTCCTTTTTTAGCTGCTCAGTGACCTCAAGGATTGCTTTTGATGTTATTTTTACCAGATCATCAAGCTTTTCCTTTTTTCCAGCTGCCTTTTTGATGGGAACAAATGGCCTCTTCTTTGAAGGAAGATTTGCTCTTGTGGGAGTTGAAGTTCCTGAGGAGGTCTCTGGTGAAGGACCTTGGCCAAACTCATTGTTGTTGTAGCCCCCCTCTTCATTTACATGATTCACTTCAGTTGAGGTTGGACTTCCTTCTTGACTGTCATGTGAACAAGTTGATGGTTCAATGGCCTGCTCTGGCTGACAAGATTCTCTGGACTTGACAAGAGGCAGCAGTTGATTAAACCATTTTCCATAGTCCCTGTCCTCCTGAAATCGCTTTATGCCAGATGCAGATTTGCAGGTTAAGGCAGCCTTCTTGCACTCACTCATGCACTTCTTGAACTTATTTCTAGTTTGGACAAGGCTGAACTTGTATTCTTCTCTCCTAGCCTGGCAACGTTTCTCCACCTCTTTGATCACCTCAAAATGTAAACACAAAAGTTGCAAAAGGAATCAGCATTTTAAGTAAAGTAAGACAATTTGTTCCACAAAGAGTATTGCTAAACATATACAATGCATTTGTACTACCAAATATTCTTTACGGTCTTTTAAATTGGGGAAATGCATCTAAAACCACTCTTGACCCAATTAATAAAAGAATAAAAAAGCCATAAGATTAATAACATTTAAAAGTAAAACTGAGCACAGTGAACCTCTTTTCAAATATCTAAACCCTCTTGATCTTGAAGATTGTTATAAATTCAAATGTGCTAAAATTATGTACAATTTAAATAGTAACATTTATAATACTACTTTTGGGAAATTATTAAAAAAAATCCAAAGACATTCATAACTTTAAAACAAGGCATGCTACATCAGGGAAATTTTTCAAACCATCCTTTACAACAAGCTATGGTAAAGGTTCTATAACAAATTCTGGTGTTGATATTTGGAATTCCATTCCAAAAGATAGAAATTCCTGATTTCAAAATACTAGAACCTATGAGTTATATATCGATCAAATTCATGTAACTAAAATGGCTCATGGCTCGAAAGCCCTCTCTGGGTTATTTCCATGAGTCATTCAGCTTTGTTTATTACATGAGTTGTTAAAATAATTATAATATTGTAATATCACGCTGAGAATACACAAAAAATTCAAATTACCTTCAAATAAATTTCTCCGTTCTTGCTAGTCTTTGTGTTTGTAAAAATCCGTTTTTTGCGAAAATACTCATTATCGCAGATAACGTCCACTAGGTCGTTTGTTATGTCCATTGGCCACGATGACTTCTTCCCGGCCTTTTTCTTTCGCTTTTCAAACAACACATTACATGCCTCTTCCGCTTCACTTTCTGACCCAAAACTCCCTCTTTCGTCCTCATTAAAAATTTCGGATTCCACGCCAGCTTCCTCACTTTCGCTGCCGCAATCCACGCTATTGCTTACATACACGTCTGTTTCTGCCTTTTTTCTTCAGAGATGAATACAAGAAGCAAGAACAACCCAACTATACTTTGGCGCCAACAAAAACTTAGCACCACTGCGCTTGCGCAACTAATGTATTTGACGGACTGGAAAAAACACTATTTGATTCAAGTCATCAAAAGCGCGACGTCTAAAGCCAACTCGCGCTTTGGTCGTGTAGCACGGCTGACCATGACGAACTTGAGTCGCACCTAGCATTTGTATCGAGCTAAATTGCAAATTGGATTTATACGCCGTGCTAATGTTGAATCTAATCGATACTTAGATTTTGAAGAGGCAAAGTATTTCATTCAGTGCGAGATAAGCGCGACGTATAAATCAGCCCTTAGATTATCAGCGATCCTAGGGTCAGCGAATGATTTTCAGCCTCTCCTTTGAAATTAAAACAAACCTTCTATCCCTGTGTACAATTCCATGCTTTTTAGACCCACCCTCTTTTAGCAATAGTTTATCCACATTTGAATTGATAGTCTCTTCGTCAAAAAATGTTGTACTAGGCCAAAATAGCGGATGAAAAGGAAAGGTTGAGGAATGCCTACAGATTTTAGACAATAACTTCGATATACCAGGAGAAGGCTTCGAATCTGATATTGAAGATGTTGATCAAGATGATTTTGAGTCGCTTGAACCAGACATGACTGGTTCTCTATGTAATACAACTGAAAATACTTTTCAGTACGAAAATCTAGATGAAGATGAAGGACCTGACAGAGTTTCCAAAATGGATTTTGATATCGATAATTCGCATGTTAAAGTGCAAGGAAATTCTCCTTCCTCAAATCACGGACGACCTGCCAATGTTTCCCTTGCCAACAAAGAATGGGAATAAAAAGATACCAGTGCTCTACTCAAGATATAAAAATCTAAGGGCCTGTTTACACGGGATCGGATCCAAAAGGATCCGTACCCAAAGTGGTACGGATAGGCTTTGCAGACCTGGCATTGCAGACCGATCCAATTTGGATCTGCTATCCGTAGCTGTTTGGGATCGCTTTTGAAGGTGGTCCCGTTTGGATCTGATCCCAAAAAGGTCTTGTGTAAACGATATGGGATCGGATCCAAACAGGTACGGATCCAAAATGAGGCGAAAATTGTCCATTACGAGGTGCATCCTATATGGTATCCTTGTAATTGGCGCCAAAAGACAACCATTTCATTATTTCGAATCGTTCGACCCCAAAGATCAAACCCATTTATCAAATTGCGTGCCTTTTTCAAAATGAATGAAGAGATTAACAAAGCACGTGCATCTCCACAGATAGTGGTTTCCTCATGTTGGTTACTTGTCTGGTCAACCAGGGCCTAACCTCTTCACAGAGGGCATAAAAACTGTTTTGAGACATTCTAAAATTTTCTGTCCACTCTCCTGCAGTGACATAATTGTTTTCAAAGCTTTGCCACCAGGCATTGGTTCTACCAGGACGTTTCCAAAATCTTCTAGCTTTCCTTTCAACTTTATTGCTGGCTAGTAGGCCAAGTTGATTCCTCGCCCCTGCAACACTGAAATTTGGCTCCATTCCGAGAATCGCTGTCAATAATACCTTCCGACGCCGTTGATGCTCAATTTGAATAATGTTCATAAAGTTAATCCATGAACTCATATGAGAAACCATAATAAAAAGGACGGAGGCAATAGCTTTCAATCGCTGTAAAGGTTCCATTTTTCTCACTTCTGCTATTGAATAAATTTCGTAATTGGATTGCGCACACAGACCCGCGCATCTTGGATCCATACGGATCCGATCCCGTGTAAACGCAAGTATTTTCAGATCCGATCCCGTGTAAAGACACCCTGAAAAATGAGATGCTGTTTGGATCCGGTCCCGTGTAAACAGGCCCTAAGTGTTGGAACATTGCGCTCAGGGTGTGTTGGCCTCCCTTCCTTTCTGTCTGACAAGACATTGGCAAAGTAATTGAAGAGAGGAGAAATGAAGTGGACAGGAATGAAAGGTCCCATCCTAGCTTTGACATGGATGGATGAAAAGCTAGTGCAGATGACAGGAACTTACACCTCTTGTCCTGGAGCTGAAATTGTTCCTCTTAACGAGAAAGGTCGACACAAAGAAAGAAGATGTTATGTATGCTCATGTAATGGAAAAAGAAAGCAGGTTATTTACGTTTGCCCAGATTGTGATGTTGGTCTTTGTCCTGCTCCTTGTTTCAAATAATATCATACAAACTAGTGTTTATGGAGAGGTTCTTGTTTTACTTTTTAAAACTGATATTTAAAATGACTTTTTCCAATAATGACCTCGATTTATTATTATCAACTAGTTTTGTGTAAATTAAATTGTTGTAATATAATATTTGAAATATAAAGTAACTAAATCAAGAGAGAATATACTCTGAAAAGATAAGAAACAGTAAGGACCTTGAAATAAATTGTAAAGCCTTTTCTACTTATTTTTAAGAATTCCTAAATTTTGCTTTCTCTTTACGATGATTGTATTGCAAAATAGTGATCACATCATAATAATATAAAATGACTCTTAATAATAAAAATTAATAAAA